GTTCCAGGACCGCACTATGTACGAAACTCGGTTTAGTTCTAATGATATTAGTGCAGACGAATTGTGCTTGGAAAATAAATGATCGCTAATACTTAACGAGACGTTTTCGATTTATTGCACAGACGTGCCGACGAAAAAAAGTTGGAGAAAAGGTCAGGGTAAAGCCTACGTCGAATTTAATGACAATGTCAAAATTAGGTGATTCAATAAAGGGACCTTGCCCTGCTCTCATTACTATTGCACTGTATGTATAAAGTTGCTACGGTAAAGCTAAATTTGTCACAAAGTTACCGAACGGCCAAGATTCGATGCAATTTATCGATTCGTCTAACAAAAACAAGAGTATACACAGAATGAACCAACAACTCAGCGGTATTTTGCTCGTTCCTAGAAGGTAGCGTGCATGTTTACTGTAGGAACGTCACCTGCCTCAAACCTAGCATTGTAGGTTCATAGCGTTTCTAGCATAAACCTGTTGGGATTATTAAATAGCATTAGTTAACTGTACAAATCAGCCAAAGTAGCGCAACATCAACGTGAATGAAAAGAGAAACTACTTGGAACTTTCAGTCCAATACGAAACACAGTCGCGCGCTTGACTACATATGGTACGCATGGGCCGTTTGGAAATGCCAGCTCAATTGATACTGACATCTCATTGATGTTGATTGATTGATACGGTGATGGCTGATCGTTAGATTCGTTTTTTGCCTTTGTAACCTCGACGCTTCGCGTTTTATGTACTATATCGCCTTTATGCATTCCATCATATGACTGGCTCCCAGCGCGAAATGAATGAAGTCTGTTTGTGCCTTTTGGGTTCGAACCTAGATCGCAACGTGTCCCTAAGATTAGCAGTCAAATATGCTACGTACTAAGTTATGATAGGGACTGCACATTTAACCTAGGCCAGCTTTGTCCTATTCGCACAGTTTAAAAAATACGAATTTTGTACGAAAAATTACGAACAAAGTATTGTTATTTAACACATTTGCGTGCTTGTTTAATGGAATCGTCAACGACCGAAAACATAGAATAAAAAAAAAACTTGATGCGCGTCTAACTCAGCGATACTCACTGTCACGAAGGCAGCATAATATCAACCTTAAGTATGACGGCAAAAATCATTCAGGGCAGCCCAAACACGAGCAAAGGGAAGGGAATCGTCTACGCGTTAAGTGAATAAAAGGTTTACAATTACTAAATAATTATTCCGTAAATAAACATGGTCAACGAGCTTCCCGAGGAGAGGTTTGTTTTACTTAAAATAGTAAAAATGGTTACCTTGTATCGAAGGTTTCCACTGTTCTTGTACCTAACATCTGTACCATTAGACCGTTGTCAACAAATCAAAGTTATCTATTACCTAACAGGTAATTTTTTTGTGTTTATTCACTCAAATGGAAAGTAAGCCATTTGCTTTAAACCAACTTTGTTTAGATACAGAAAAACTCAACACTTTTTTTTACCAAAATTGAATCGCAGCAAACTTATCATTCTAAAGGTATCTCGTGCACGATAAAATCGGTTTGTGTATAGGAATGGTCTAACTCGGCAAAATTTGCGAGAAAACCGTGCTCTCGAGTAGAATAAAGTGTAAACCTCAACATGTCTGCGTCTCTACTACTAGAAAATGGAGCCAGAAGGCAGTATCGTACGCAGCATTCTACGAATTGGCGAGATCAGTCTTAGATCCCGAAGAACTCGCTAACTCTTCAGCGGGCACTTCGCGTGAGACATCTATGTACTGTACACGGGATAAGAAGTCGTTCTTGTAAACGTTCTGCGGTCTTTGGTCAGGAAGAATAAAGCACACTTAGCTGCGCGTTTCGACTTATCAATACGTTTTGCAGCGCTATTATCTACAGACGTTAAGGTAGCAGAAAATGATTTTATTGCAAGTTGGCAATCCACGAAATTTACTGGAAGGTCAATTAGTACGAGGATTCGAAGGCGTAGTTCCCAGCAATTGCAGTCGAAACGCATGTATTACCTGAAATACCCATGGCCGTATTAAAGTATCTGATATTTAGCTGTAATGTGACTAGTACAATTGCTCCAGAGCTCATTAAAAGAAACAATTGAGAAGCGAAGCTTTTTTGGATGATCAAACTATATTATAGCGAATTATGTCACACGAAGTTCTGCCGCTTTATGGGCCTCGTAGTTTGTTTTACAAATAAGCCCCTTTTTTTTCCGGTTAGTATAAATTGCACTTTCTCCGTACCTCAATTGGTGTATCGGTCTATGTACAAAATACTCGATATATCGCATACTACAGAGAATTATGAAAACAGGGGCATTTTTTTAACTCTTTTGCAATGGAACATATTTGGCTGGACACGCGCGCTCTGTGATTTGGTCAGCCCTCGTTAGCATTTGTAAGGATAGGTAAAAAGAAGGTTCAAATAATTGACTTCCTTGGCGAAGATGACGTAGCAGTATTTCCTTCGTATATGTGCTTCAAACGAATCCGCTCTTGAATGGCCTCGATGCCTCACAGATTAACCAAATTTCTGCATACACTTAGATAATTTTTTCAACCTTTTTCTGGTACAAAAATTGATGTTGCTTGTTGAATTGCAGAAACTATTTTAGTGGGACCAATGTACGAAGCAGATAACAAAAGATAAGTGGAAACTTTCATTTGCAACTTGTTGATTTGGTGTCTCGACGGTCCGAAGCTGTTAAAACTCAATATCAACGCAACGGCAAACTGCTCGAAGTAGTTTGCATCCAATTCTAAAGTTTATGTAACTATCGAAATCACAGACCAGTTTCGGACCAAACTAAGTTTGCAAGCGCTCAACAAATTTCAAAGGAATAGAAATTCAAAAGACAGATTGCGAACGGTGGACCCTATAGACCGGATGGAATGTCGACTTTCTACCACGAGATCTATGATGACTTCGCTCCATTCAAGTTCCCTGGACCCTGAGGAAGTCGCGTATTGTTTCGCTGGCTGCGAACACATATTGTACGATGTTGTAAATCTGGATAATGTTTTTTGTTGAATTTCCATATTTTTATGGCTGCCATAGAATACTCTGGAACCGTCTGGTACAGTCTTGCTGCCCATAAAGCTAAACAGACTCGCACGCCATTTAACGATACGAACAACTGTGAGTAAGATAATTCCATACAAGCAATAAGAGTGTGAGCTGTCTAAGAATTCTGGACGATGAAACGATAGAATTCTAAACTACAATTTAATTTTGAAAACGACCATTTGTATATTAGAAACGTGACATAGTAATAATCCCTAACGTTTGGAAGGGCTTAGCTTTTACATTCAATCGAAGCATCATCATTTGCTGTGATACGCATCATTACCATTTATAACCTTCTGTAATTTATATAATGACTTAGAAAGGCATTTTCACCATCATAAAAAGTTCTCGAAACTTTGATAAGAGTTGTAATTTGTCGTTGCAATGTTGGGCGGCTACGGGAGGCGATGAGGGGCTTTTAGCTACGAAGCCCGTATTGACGCCAGCGTGATTCTTGGGGTGTAAAGACAAATGTTCTCATACAATAGAAGTGATCTGTTCCCATTCAATCATATGGGCTGCATGGTTCGATTTTGTCAACGCGTTCAATTGTTGACAGCACATTTTAGCAATTACTAGGGGTTAACGAACACTTATGAAACTACGGGAGAAAAACACGTGAGATTAGCCTATGAGCTTTTGCAGCTCTAGATTTGCTTTAAGGGTAATATCCTACCGGCTGCATTGCATCCATCCCTCATGTGGCCGTCTGCGGTGGTCATAGATAAGGAAAATAAAAACAAGTAGAATTAACGTGAGCACGGGGTGAACACTGTATAAGAACGTTTCTGAACAGCAAAAGGATACTAGCAGTTTCGGAACATAATTGCCCCTACTTATAGCTAGCAACGTGCCTCCATGTCCACCTTTTTTACTAACTGCAACTAACCTGTCAGCGAGGAAGCAATTTTTCTAATTATCATCGCTATACGTAAAGCATCAGTCTAACATGGTAATAACTAATCATAGTATACCCCAGTAAGAACTCATCTGAGCATGAAAGCTTGCGATCAGCACGTTTATTGAAAGGTTAGCCTTCTGCGCCCAATGGACACATAGAAAAAAAGATATTATTTTCATTGTTTTCGTGTTTACCGTGATTCACCTTACTGAAATGCTACGTGGGTATTTACTTATGGCGTTCAGGGGAACTGTACTGCCGTAGACGTAACGCAATCTCGAAGCGATAAAAAGAATAGCAAAAATGCTTTCCCAATCGAATATTATCTACCTTCATAAATTTATTATAAAACAACCTCCTAAAATAGCTAGAACGACTGCTTGATGCTGTAGGCTTTGCTGCATCTTTAAAGAAACCCGAAAAGCTACAATGGAATAAATGAACCTGTACAGCGGTGCGTCGATTCTTTTCGAAGGTAATCCTTTACGCGTTTTTCGGTCTAGGCTAGAGCTGACAGCAGGAATTCACTTCGGGAAATTGTTGGTTCGGTTATATAGAACTCAAAAATACATCTCTAGCCTAAAGGCTGTACGGTTTAGTTGAATAACAAGCCGGAAGAGCTACAATTATGTCACTTACGGAATCTAAGGCCATGCTAACCTCAGCCTCGTTCGATTTAAATGTACATCCTATGGAGTAATTTCCTATGGGACAATTCTGCCTAAGATCTAACAACATGGACATTTTTCGCCATTCTAGATACTACCGTTTTGTTTACATAGTAGTGTTCACGAAGTTGTAGAGATCCGGCTTGCGAAACTCTTTAGTTTCAAGAACGGAACGGGTTTCTGACAATTTCTCATTTCAGCGTAAAGCGCATTATAATTCCCATCAGCAATTAGGCTTCGGTCCAATTAAATCCTTGTTCGGTGAACCTAAACATGTTTTCCGTGATTTCAGAATAGGAACAAATTCAATCATTACTGATCTTAATGAAAAGTCGCAAACAATTTGTTTCTTTTAACTATGCACTAGTCGTGGCGTCGAACTGACTTACTGAAATAGAGCATTATGTACACCAATGCCAAGCGAGCGGGCAACAATGCTAGATAAATACGCGAAACACTACGAAAAAAAGAAAACACATGTGTTGTCCTCCATACTTATTCTTATGTATTGAAAACACCATCGTCGTCATTGCGCCCACTTTTAATGTAAAAAATATATTGTAGGCTGAACAAGCCATATACCTACCGTATAATACATATCCAGCTAACAATATTATCACATTATTCGTATAGAGATATGCCATGTACCAGTTCACTAACAATAGTTATCTACGGTGATCCGATCAACGATGATAAAATCAGCCATAATGATCAGTAATGAACAGTAATATTATTAGACCATTTGAAGAACTGGACATGTATACAGTCATTGTACGGTAGCGATACCTTCAGCATTCATACTTTTATAGAAGAAAAGTATTATTATCTTTTTTTTTTTTATGAATTAGACAGAAATCTCTTACTCTGCAGACTGAACACAACAGATGCTCGCTGTAGCAATTTGTTCCGACAAGCATCATTTTTTACTACATAATATACTAAAATAGTTGTTTATGACAGTGAAACGTATTGTTACGCCATATTCTGGAATCATCAGTCGGACCCTCATCGCAATGAGAATTTAATCCTGCCTACAAAGAAACCTTCTGTACTGGCAAGCGACGGCATGGTGAAGTAATACTAAATAAAGTTAAAAAAAACGCATCAACTAGTTTAATGAATGAAAATAAGTACAGTTGTGCGAGTGTAACTTACTGTCGTGTTAAAAAAAAAAAGTAACTTCTTGGCTGTACAGACCTAAACAATTGAATACAGAGGTTTGAAGATTGTTTTGTGCGAGGAAATAACGGTACGCTGTCTCGTTTTTGCTCAAGGGGCAAGGGCTTTCTACTTAAGTGGGCTTGTGCTTCTTCACTTCGAGAAGTGCTTCTAATTGCCCAACAAGTTGGCGGGCCGTTCGAACCTCGTTTGCTATCCGATGTACCGGCTGCATTGCTTTGCCGAGCTCCTCGTACTTGGCTAGAAGTCGATACATGCTCTGTAATATAAGAAGACAGATTAGAAGTGGATTGTATTTACCGAGATCAATTCTATTTTCTAGAAATCTAGTTATCCTAATTTATGTCCAAGAATGACGTCAGCTTTACCACGAAGAGTTTCTCTTGAGAAACTTCTATAGCTCACACGTCTGTCAGAAGTTGTTCTATGACTTGTGAACTTCATTGAGTTACAGTAGTTTGATGACAATACGAATAACGTAAGAATTAGTCAAATTTAATGGCTCTCAATTCGTAGCTTTGTTATCCTTAGAGGGAACCTCCTACCTAGGGAGTAATTAGCATAAATTAAACGGTTGCGAGAAACATCTTGACCAGGAAATTTCAAGTCGCTATTTTTGTGCCTTTTTGAACCTGCGAGTCGTCGCCTAGTGATCCACCTTGTAGAAAGAGATTCTTTTCAAGTTAGCTTACAGGCGAGACATCTATCTAGCGCCATCGTACCAGATTTCACCACTTAATATTGCTGCAAAATTTGACTATACGGTAATTACAGTATCACATAGTATTTGCAACCTAGTCACGTACACAATAGTAAAATTAATGAGGTAGCGAAATGCTAGATGAAACCTAAATTTGCTCTGTTGGCCTGTACGAGATGTATGAAGAATGTCGACCAAAAACTAGGCAGTATCCAAGGGACGTGATGAGCTTTTCGTTAACACATTTTTTTGTAAATTTAATCCCGTGTATCTCCTTTATATCCCGTGAAGCTTCTTTTATATATTCCTTTTTTTAATTATACAGATTGGCTTACGCAAAAAGGTTAGCCTTCGATGCGGAGTACGCAAGGGTCCAGATTGGAAAGCCAGATTAGGATGATACCTTTGCTAACCTCATTCGAAACGTAGATATTTAGGTTAATAAAATGGCTCAGATTAACTAATAACATATTTTTTTGTTAAATACTTTACAGCATTTCTATTGATATATACTGATATATGTAGGGACGGTGCATATAGCCATTTCCGGCCCTCGCAAGGCTATCGAGGACAACCGGTTGCGACTATTTATATTAAATCTCATATTGGAGGTTGTATTTTTTGTTTGGAGCGATTCGGATGGACCTCAGGACATTCAGATTGTTAGCTTACACGCAGCCCACTATAGCGGCCGCTTTTTGTTCCCCCGGAGACACCTTCGCCTTCTCCGAGCCCCCAGCTGTTCACTTGAAACCGATCTGAGACCAAAGCGGATAGAAGATTTCCCTTTCAGAATGCTGTGTCAGCGATTGTTCACTTCCTTTTTGCACACACATACGTAAACCCGAAGTTCAGCGACAACGATTTGGCAATTTAAATAGCGTTCTATTAAAACTCGTTCGCGACGCTTTCCTCCGAAGTGCAGATGACGGCGTTACTAACAGGGCATTTCTAAGGCTTATACGTTACTTTTACGTTTAAATTGGACGTTGATATATATATATATATATATATATATATATATATATATATATATATATCAACGTCTAATTTATATAGATATATAAATATAATACAGTTGATAGCAAAAAGTGTTACCTTGACATTAGCATCTGCAGCATCGCACGTACGCATAACCCCGCTCTCGTATGTTGCTATGTATTCGCCTGTTAAGCGTGTAACCTTCGAAGAGAAAAAAACAGAATCAGTCAAGCCGGTTTCCTTATACTGCGATGAATGGAATAGATCATTGGATCTGTTACATCTCTTTTATTGTGAAACGAATGGTTTTAGAATAGAAATAAACCCATCTTTTATTTATTATTGTTGTGTTTTAGCTGTTCTATTGTATATTATACTCTCAGCCACCGCCGGTGCAACGATGAAATGAGAATCAAAATATTGCAAAGAAAAAAATCACATAGATAATAATTTAACATTTAATAATCATTTAGATTAATTGCTTTATACCGTGTACTTGAAAAAAATTGACAAGGCGTGATTTTACCCCTTATAATTAGTTGTAATCAGTAGATAGATAAATCGAATAAAGCAATCCAAGAAATTCGTAATTTAATTTCACTTGAACAAAATGACCCACAGATGTTAACGTTGACCAATTCGTATCACGTTTAAAATATAAGATACTGACAAGGACAATTATCCCAAGTACAGCATCTGGCTGCACAACAACGAAAATAGATTTCGTTACATAACAATATTGTATAGTATCACAGTTTATACATTTCTCTCACTGTAGTAATGCAGTCACCCGTATTTCACTGGTATCATTAAATATATTTTTTAATGCTAAAGCTATTATTCTTTCTTTTATAGTTTCATGAACGAAAACGTTTCCGCTATTTACGATCTCGATTCGGTTTGAAGCCAGCTTAGCGTAATACAACAAACGAGATAACTGCCTTATAAGACAACCGTATTATGTGCTAAGGTAGATGAACGGAAGTGTTTGATATGCTGCGTATTAGCGCATGCAAGCAGACTAACGCGGCGAAAAAGGGCTCCAAGTTTCCCTAAAAAAGTTTCCGATTAGAGTTAACAGCGATACATATCCAACTGTGAAAAGCCTACCTACTACTAAGACATCAATTGCAAAGAAAAAAGAAAAAAGAAAAGAAATGAAACATTTCTCTCCAGCAGTCAGCAGATAAATGTCACCTCTGTTTAGCCCTTGTCATTGTAAATCTTTTTTTTTTTCACAGCCTATTCAAAAGCACCCCCAGCATGATACGTTAAAGAAATACTCTTTTTCGTACATGCTCGTTATTATATGCTGTTCAAAGGATCGCTGAGAACGCTGTAACGAAAACAGAACACGAAAAATCTCAACTGGGACTATACGCAACGAAACAGAATGAGAGATTTGAACAGACGCGCGAGCGACACAAGCGCCGCGGCAACAATATAAACGCAAATAAGTCAAAGCGATGATCTGAATCGAACAGATACGGCAGGCAGCTGTAGATAAGAGTATGACAGTGAGCACGCAGTTAGGTCACTGTTCATTACTACTATTTGTTGAAGTCATAATAGACCAACAAAGACTACATAAAAACGCATGACTGCGCAATTTCAGGTAATCCGTCTGTTTTGTACAATAAAACCTCCCAAAACACACGAATGTAGAAAATACCGCATCTTACATTGCTGCCTACACTAGGTCTACTTAGTCTACTACCTGATTTTACTAGCTATGGCTCGCAAACACCTAAATTCTCGTGTTGACTCGAACTAGCCACTCATGTAACTATCTTTTTTTCATTTCTGTGCGTTTATTGAGGCCTTCATTTTGTACGGAGATCATTGTGTACATCGAGTTGTGTACTAGGAGATAGTTCAGGGACATTTCCGCCGAGGTGCAAGTTAGCAGCTGAGCAAAACATGAACAGAGTAAATTCGCGGTTCCGTGCATTCAATTGTCGCAGTACATTATATTGACATCTACGAATTGGTAAATACTGTATCGGTGTTAATGAATGTTAAAAATTTGGCAAAAATAGCGACGCACACAAACTTAGGCATAATTAATCCAGTAGTAGATACAAAGCAGGCTGCATTAGAGATACAGAAATCACACCGATCGTGCATTGGATTTTCGATGCCCACATTAATTGATCACTTAGATTAATTACCTACAACTTTTCATCATATTTCTTCTGTTGTTTCGTCAGTCTGAAAATGGTCTACAATGGCTGGAACAACTTTCTATCTTACGCCAACTGAAAAAGCTTTGCACATACCTTTTTGACTCAATTTTATAGTTATTATCAGTATTATATAGTCATTGTCACTTACGTATGAAATTTTATTTTAGAAATAAATCTACGTATTCTAATTAGTGGCCACGGTATCCTGCGCGCAAAATTGACAGCAACGGTAAAAAAAAAAGATTAATACACGTGTGTCGCTGTCTGAAAGAGTTTATGAAGCTCTATTCGGGGTCCACAAATCCTCAGCCGTTTGCGCATTTGTTGCGCAATACGAGGCAAAATATTCTGCTTGCCACTGCACCATGGGTACGCCAAAACAAAAAATCTGTATTCAATTAGATTCTATGAAAAGGTATATTTGTTAATCTGAGGGATATTAGGTGATGATAAATGAAGTTTCTGTAACACCATTGTTACGTGGGACCTGCGAGTATGGGCCAGATTATGGATTACGATATTTACGATGGCGAAGTAAAATTCAAGATTTTGGAGGTCAACTGACAACGCTGCGGATGCTTAAAAAGCTTGATTTTCAATTTATCTAGGAAGGTTGGACTCCATAACAAGTTCAAAAATATCAAACTTGTTTATAGCATAAACAATGCTTCAAAATGCTGAATATTATAGCATGAAACGGGTAATAGAATGTATAACTGCGCAGCTTTATAGAAAGACCTAACTACAGCGGAATATTGCAGTTTACAATGCACCCGAAGTGCGTCATTCCAGAGCCTATTAACCGTATGTGTTGTTTGGTAAAGCAAGCCAAGGACAATGGGTCGTACTCTAAAAAGTTTAACTAAAGCTCTTGAAGTATGGTACCACCGGTTACAGTCCTCTCCGGTAATCATGAATGAGAAAGCTCTCGCATATTGCGTTAAATACGTACATTTGCTAAATGTTAGTCAGCATACTGATATAATGACGTAGATAAACAGTAAACAGTACTGAAAATATTGTTAGATACGAATGTACGATAGGTGACCTATGTTTACTCCATGCTACTTGTATATTTTATCTGATTTGGTTCCAAACCCATCAAGTTTTACTGATAATATTTTGCTGGAGCTCATTCGTGTGAGCCCAAATTAGGTGATGGAAAACTCGAAACAAGTTTCTACGCAACTTCCGCTGCTGTTGAGATATAAATAGTTAAAACAACACGAATCCTCTAAATGATTAAGGCCTAATGCGTAATATATAAGAGTTAATTTCAGGGCTTTAGAACTTAAAGGACTTTATTCGTGCTACCGACCCCGTTTTGAATGACCATAACAGATTGATTACGGACAATACAATCACACTCCGAAGCTTGAAAATTCCACCCAGCCTCTATACCTGGATGTGAGTGACTCGCACCAAGCTCATCAGTAGTCTGTATGCACTAGGGAATAGATTACAGGCAATGACACGGATCTCACATGAACTCAATGGAGGCGTTAGTGCCAAACTGCCTGCCCATATATATTGGATTGTTCCACACTTGGGAAATCGTGGTTTCTACAAAATATCGGTACCGGAAGTGAAATGAAGGTGTTTTACATCAACTTCTTGTACAGGAAACCATAGCTAAACGCCCAATAGACCTCAATATAGACAACTTATAAAATTTTTTGGGACCTGAAAGAAGTACTTGACGGTAGGTATCGTAAACTGTGATTCAACTCAGCCTATCAAACTGAGTTAAATTATCTTCTTGTAGGACAACACTGGACCCCATAGCTTTGTTGCTTAGAAGATTTTTCTTCTCTAAAAATTATTTTTGTCCTACTCCATATAGCTCATACGTTATTAGCCACTAGCAGCTGAATAAGTGACTTTGCGCTAAGCTAATAAGTGACTAAGCTAAATAAGTTGCAATAGGGTGAGTCTCGTCCATAAATCAGCAACACTTAAAAAGGGCCGTCAAAACGAAATTACTTTCCGGCTGACCTAATGTGTGATGTATTTACTATAGATAAGCTCGTTCCATTTTTATTACACGATCAAAAATACGTTGTCTTACGTTGTGTAGTTGTGAGGAAAGGTTTTCCATCATGTGCTGCACAGAGTTGGCTAGCCGACGCGCATCCTCCTCAAATTCAGCCAGAATTATCGGCAGACGCGACACGTCTGAGAAACCACCGGCCATAGCATTACAAAAAAGTTCGTTAGAAGCGTGTTGTAATTTTTCCTACAATATTATATTTCTTTAAGTAATGTTTAAACGCATATACACAGAGGCCTATGGTGGAAATTCTTTTTCACCTGGTTTAGAGAAAAGACCTTGATAAACAGAACGATATATATGTATATTGGCTGTACCTTTATCAAAGATTCCTAACTCGTATTCCGTATTATAACATACCACTTTAAAATGTGAAGAACTCCTTCGAACCAGAAAAATGCTTTATATCAATTCTGCCTGTTTTATTCTAGCCTTACTTGAGCAAGTTATTCTACCTGGCGCAGGTGTGGGCGCTAAAGACGTTGTTCTGCTAGCTTGCTGTATCAAATCATTGATGTCATCTGCCACGTACGTGTGTTGGCCATCGATTTTGTGTTTATTAGCGATTAAAGCCTGTCCCTCAGACCTTGTGTTTTGGCTACCCTGTGTATTTACAACAGGTTTCTCATGCACTCCACCGAGCTCTGTGATTTTTTTTGTTTCAATGACTTCCTCGTCTGTCTCATCTTTTACTTGACGTTGCAGCGCTTCTCTTTCCAGTCCAAAAGCGGCTTCGAACGTCGGTAGAACTTTGGGTTCGTTTATCCGCAGAGAAGTTGGTACATGACGGTTTTTACGATCAATGATTTCACTAAGCCGACTGTTGGACAACTGTCGATCGTTGTCGTCGTCTCTGTATGAGTAAGCAAAAAAAAAAACAAGCATTATGAAGAGTGAGGAGAAATCCCATTCCGTAAATGTTGAACAATTCTCACTTGACAGAAACATATGTATTTGATAAGCCGGTATAAGATCTTACTTAAGTTCCATTACTATTTCTTTACCCAATACCACTCATACTGTATAGTACAGCTGAGGTCAAACCTGTCTGAGGTTTGATTTAACATACGCACCCTCGGTTTATTTCATCGACAAGACGGGTGATCTCTTCTGTCGTATCCTGAACCAGATTCAGATCTTGAATTTCACTAGGAAGAAGGTCGTCATTCAACTCATCCTCGGCACTCAGACAGATTTCGCTGTAAGAACCTGAAAAAAATGGTATTGAGCACATAAAATTAGAATACAATGTATATATACCCCAAAGAATGGAACTTTAGCATCAAAATAGATTGAGTAGATTCTATTGAGCCTTAATGTTAACGGTATTGCAGCTTTCCGCCAAAGCGTGAAACATTTTTGTGTTTTCTTTCTCCTGCAATTGCTTCATGCATTTGTTATAGTACATACTACGCGTCGTCAGTTTTCGTTCTATTATTTATAAAACATTTTTAGCTATCTCTTTTTCGGACTATACCTATATTTCCTCTACGAAATATACTTTTATGAATTATTGTGTGGGTAAAATTGGCCAATTCGAAAAATACACTCACGTCCAAGTCATTCATGATATTTTATTTTCATTATTCCGATAGATAACGCCTTTATTTTGATGTGAACACAAGCCTAAATATTAGTAAATACACTAAATGTTCCTAAAGATTATGAGAGGTATAATCTCAGAATTTCTTTTTTAACAAGTGCTATAAGACACGAGTCCAACTAAAATATGAACTCATTGATCAGTCAACCGCGCCGCTAACTACACAAAAGCTGATTAAAAATATTTGATTAAAAACGTACTTGATATTTCATCGGACGAATCACGAACCGGTGTCTCGGCGTTTTTACTTTGCCCCACACGCTCTCTCTGCCATTCCTTCGTATGATTTTTAATTCACATCAGTTTAAATGGGCGCGCGCGCTTTCAGGCTTTCCTACCTGATGATCAGTGTTCCTTCTCATTTTTAATAATGACACCTGTCACAAGGTACACTGATTCGTCATTGTCGGAGCACCCTACTTAGCCTAACACATACCAGCAGTATGTATAACTGACATGAAATGAACGAAGACACACAAGAATTTTTGAGGAAATCTCTGAACATAAAGGCAAGGCCGAGTTTAAAACCTGAACAGGGTAAGTTCTGATCCAGCAATCGTCTCTAAATAGGTATCAGATTAATTTTTTTCTCGCGCGAACCGCAAACGTATGGACTGGTGTGTTCAAAACAGAGTCCGCCGTGCACGTGAACTAGATGGCTGGCAAAAAAGTTGATTTGAGTGAATTACATATTTATCGGAGTTCCCAGATTAGCGAAACCAAGGCGCAGCATTAACCCTTGTGGCCCGTATAGCTCTACCTATCGCACGGACTGTTACGCTGTAAGGATAAGCCTAGGACACATTATAACTGACTGATTTCTAGTATCCAAAACATGTATGTGATTCATTTTAGAATAGAAAATAACTTATAGACTAATCTATATTAGTCGTTTCGTAATTAAAACAACATTTGCTATACAGCGGTAGCTCTCTCAGAACTTCTCATTGTCCGGTCGAAAACGATGAAAAATTTCAAGTTTGAAGTGCACAAACAATTTCCTTCGGGAAATGTCTTCGGAAAAGAATGCTCCCTATGATTGGAGCTTTAACTTCAATATCGTACTAGGCATTTCACTAGATGGCTGGCTCCCAGTACAAAACGAAGCATGTTTGTGCCCGAATTTGAACCTAAGCCACAACGTTAGCACGCTAATACGTTACCGGTTAAACCATCATGGGGACAGAGAAAACGGAGACGGAAGATAAAGCCCGCGCTAAGAGCTACCCGTCCAAAGCATTTCCTAATGGACTGATTATCAGACGCATTCAACGCAGATGGAATGCGTGTATTTATCACTCCTTGGGATATCAGCATGAGTAAGAGGATTCTGATGTTTGCCGGATCATAAAAAATTTCGCTGCGCCCAATACACAATTTAGTATCTAAATCAGTGGCAATGCAGGTTGATAATGCACCAAGGTGGGTGATGCTAGATCCTACTGACGTGTGCTGTTAGCTTCGAGGTCCCTAGGGCTACGTCTAAGCAGCGCAAGATACTTTCTACGCCGACGAAGCACGTAAAAACAGCCCACTAATTACGAAGAGACTGAATATATACGTCTACGACGCCTACGGTTACAAGAACGAATTGCCTGCACCATTTTTTCACATAGATGTATTGTCGAATTTAGTAGTACTGATCAATTCCTTCGTTCTTCTCCTTTCAAACTTTATTCTCGGTTCCAACTACCTGGTAATGGCTGCATATTCATACACATCAATCGTATGCTCTGCTCTGAATGCTCTGAATGAGTTTTTCACTGACTAGTGACACGCATCGGTTTTATACGATCTCTCGTCTGAAATACACTGCTCACGATAACACCCGCAGGCAATCGGATCGATTGACGCAAGGAGAGAATAGCTATGTTTGAAAATTTGACGTCGAACCACCTTTCGCCATATATGACGTACCCGTTTCATACAGTGGGCTTATTTCTCAGCGCGTATCGGGCAGCGTCGATGCTACTTAGATTTGATCACACTAATTTCAGCATAATGAATCAGATCTCAGAGTTCCTGAGCGCAGGCTAAAGAGTCATTTATTAGTTTGAGGAGGTTTGACAGCCATATATCTCATATATACCCACGGGCCAAAGATAGTGGCATCCATTCATTGTCTGCTGGAAATCAAGGGTTGCCATTCCCAGTGAAACGTCATGGAGAAAGCCCACTACTAGCTTACTATCTTGGTAACTACTAGAAACTTTTCGAACACTGTGTACTATTTGTGGTAAAAATTGTGCTATTGGATGAGCAGTCAGTTAGAAAATGATTCTTTTTACGCATTTGTTATGTGTTGACAGCTATCTGGCCTGTTTTCTCATCACAACTAATAATTATTTCATTATAAATATTGAACGGTTACTGGTGTTTAAAAAATTTCCGAAAAATATAATTTTCATTTACCTATGCTCGCAGGAGAAGCCACCCGCAAGGACTGTGGGTAATGGAACCACTCCCTTAATATTTTTTTAAGCATGACTTTTGGTCGTTACTGTGACTTAGCATGGTCTACGACGGTTCTGTGCATCTTGTGCTCTCGTGAAATATATGTGTATATAATTGTACGCTTATAGACAATCAGTAATTTTCAGTAAGGCAGTGCTTACATATACTGTTTCGTATGCATTGCAAAACAGCTGCATAAGAATCCACAGTTTTTTCTGCAAATCGAAGTCTGCCGTAAAAGCTGCCACCACCAATCGATCAAAAACCATAAACTGCTCAACTGGCTTGAAAATCTCGACCAAAATGTCAAAAGAAAGCGGACAAGCTTTATTTTGGTATGACGGAAAGATATCCCGTAAAACCTTAGAACGTTCAGCTTACCGAGACACCAGGTATATGCTATAAGGCAACCCGAACTATAAACCCAGACCCAGTGTAACTTTGCAGGCCCTATCAGAAAGACAACAGGTCTTATCTTTACAAAACACGTAACTAATCGAATACTACTGCACGAAACTTGTTCTCTACTCAAAAAATTACTTTAACGAGCTTCTTCACCTCCCATTACTACAGCAAGCAGACATTTTGCATTTCAAATAATTCGGTCTAACTAAACAATCAATATATATAAAAAGAAATATCCGCATAGGAATCAAACATATTTCTTACACTCTAAGAGAATAAACAACATTGGTGTATAGCAGCGAATATGATTCCACTTAAACAACGGTCTAAGGAAAATATCGAAAAATACGCGAAGAACAGTACTCTTTACAAGTAATTATATATAATTTCGACAAAAGTAAGTACTACGAGTGAAAGTTTTGTATTTTGGCATTGGCATATTATGGCGAACACCGTTTGAGACCATAGAAGCGAATTTTACCTGACGTTTCCGCATCTCTTATAGTAACAAGTAACTCAAGTTTTAAAGGTCCATAGCATGGAATAAACTCTTTCCCAGTGAAACTCGATTTAGAACACATTTTTGGTGAGAAATACTACACGAGTACGTGTATAGACAATATGGGGGCCGTCAATAGCAAATCCACGATAAGCTATGATTAGGAACTTCTTAAAACTCAAGAAATTGCAGTCAACTGATGCTGCTCTGAATGAAGAAATTGGTGCTGAAAAAGTTTTAGCTAAGGAAATCATGAGCACACAATGATTGTATTAGAAAACGGGTACAAATACATGATCCTGACCCACATTGTTATATGGGTGATCATGCAAACAAACGGAAAATGTGCCATATCATTTCTAATAAGGCCAAGCGAGAACTAACACAGCTTTGACAAACCGAGGCAGCTCGAATCCACAGTCCAACCCTGGTGTTCCATAAAACTCTACCTAATAAAGGCACATACCACATTCATTGTACTTTACGTAAACGATTTTAACAAGCCATACGACAAGCAGGTTAATCGTACCGTGCAACACAAACTAAGCGGACTTCGTCTAACAAAGAAAGATTTACTCAAGTTCTTGGTCCGCTCAAATTATAAAGAGACGAAACTTTTTGGCGTCCACCTTGAAAGGTTCCTATTCAAGTTATCGGAAACTCCGCGTCTCCTCTAGCGACCATGTTTTCCACAGACTGGTTCGAAAACCTCTTGAACCATGGCGTGCCTGATGTACGGAGAGAAACCTCCTGCATAAGAAATTTTAGTCCTGTATAAATACGTCCCGGAAAACTTACATCATTATAGAATATGAACGAGTAGAACAATGAAATCGGCATATATAATATTAAATAGACTGACAAAGGAAATGCTGATGCAGACTACTGAGGCTTTCTTAAGTGCATCGTGTCACGCAATCAAAATTGATGATTCTTAACGTAAGAATAATTATTACTATATGTATCGTAATTATTTATGGTATTATTATATTTATTGTAATTTTCATCCGTAATAATTTTTAAACTGATTTCGCAGAAAGAAAGAAAAGGAAACAAGCTTAATTGAATTCGAAAGTATAGTTTGAAGTAAATACGCGTGGTCCGTGAAGTACGTATGTGGAGCTGCGATGATGTGCTGTGCTATTTCCTACACATTTATGCAGTTCCAGATCGGTAGCAATTATTTGCACACCTTCGGCGATAGCAAGATAAAAGTGAATATATAATAGTGTTTATCCATTGAAACAAGGTTTTCTACCTTATCTTAATGAATTTCTTCCTAGGAAAAATATTTCTGTCATATTTATTCTGTCTTAATAATGCTTTGTTTTCGCAACGCCTAAGCCCTCCTACTAATGCTAGCTACTCAGACAATCGGGGCTGGTTAATTTAGAATCATAATAAGCTATAGCACAATTCACTGTTTACAAGAGAAAACGAGGCATGATTAGAGAATCCGAATGCCCCTGCCGAATTTGAATGCCATGCCATTTTATAAATTTGTAGAAAAAAATTGGAAAGTCCAGCAAGGCCTACAGACCGACAGCCGATCGATGTAAGCATGCGATAATATAGTATTTTATATTGAGGCTAACACCACGCAATGTAGACCAGCCTTTCGCGGATTTCGGCACAAAATTTAAATAGGCCTAATTATACCGTGGATCAGCTTTTGGATCACGCTCGTAGGATTAGCTCACGGTTCAGATTCGGGGCAGTTCAGCGGTAGTCTAGCACTTTGATTCCTAAATATGGATGCCTCTGTGCACAGAAGATCGCCTTTTTTCTTCCGTGGAACACAAAGAATAACGGCCAACGGCAATGTGCGCGTGTCTTTCAGCGAACGACGTGATTAATTATAATCGTTTTCAAAGCCAAAACGAATTAATGAAAACTGATTTCGTTCGCGCAGATTGTCGGTCCTATATCTCGAAGCAATTCTGGGCAGACAGATTAAAGTGGCTCTTTTTCCACTGCGTACGAATGATTAATTTTAGCACGGGACGCTTTTGAAGAAAAGCTTACGCATTTGCTTCAACTATCTACTATCTTGCAATAATATAAATAATAATTTTAAAAAACGGACTCAAAGTCAAAGAAAACACCACCAGCATAGTTCTATTTGTTAACGCTAAACACCAATTTTCGTTCGCGAACCGTAATAAATAACCTGATCTCTAAACAAATCATTCGTTTGTAATCATGGGCATTATCATAAATTGCTTTAGGTATAGTTCAAGTAGTTTGCTTTTTATTTACTTCGCTGATATAGTTGATCTCGCTAAGTGAAGTCATTGTTCATATTCGTTCGTTACGTTAATTTCCTAGAAACTACTAAGCCGTTTATTATTATATACCGTTTATCATTAACTAACCTAATATAATACACCAGCATGCTTCAATGCAACATAAGGGATTACTTGCGTCCTTATAAACATCTTCTCATGGGTGAAGAGAAAAATCAGGGAAAGCCATCAGTCAGGTCAACCTGAGGCATTATAACATCATATCGACTTCAATATAGTTCATTTGGTTTCTGATACAAAAAGATTTAATTTTGCTCAATTGTGGCATCAATTAGCACAATGTAGCATAATTTAGAATCGTCTTAATAAATATTTGTACAAATAAACATATCGGCTGTAATAAAGACACAGTTAGCTGAATTGGTTCCAATACCTGATCAATTACCTCAAAAATGCTACTCCTTTACAGATTCAACAAAGCATTCCTGCGCAAACAAAGACAGCGTACTAAATTATTTTTTCAACAAAACTCCTTAATTATTATCATTCTAGGTGGAATCTTAAGTAGTCCTTTATTTCCGACAGCCTTTCGGTATGCACTCTTAGCTTAACCGATAACGTTAAACTAGCTAATCGAAAGATTGCTTAAACCGCGTCCAACAAGTGGCGGGCTTTTGGTTGAAAAAACACATGTATAATTTGCCTTGATTTAGCAATTATGACCTAAATAAAGCAGATTTTTTTTACCAATGGTTTTACTATCCGAAGTTAATTATCCGAATAACTAGTTCGTTCTATTTTTCCTCTACATTATGTCAGTTAACCGTAATGTGTCATGTAAAATCGTTCACAAAATATAGCACTAACCATTATTATCACAAATAGCACCCAAACTCACGAACACGGTAAAATTCTGACAAGAATAAACAGCGAGGCAAGTAACTATTACTGATATGGTGAATGGGAGTGTTCTTCCAATCGCTGATGCATCGCCCGGCTCTATGAAAAATTAAAAGTTCTGCTATATTTCTTTTGGAAGAAAGTAGGTGGATCATGTACTTACTGGTAACCGCGGCAGCTCGAACACTATCTGAGCTCTCTTCGGAATGTTCACCTATATCAGGAAGATCCGGGAGATCATCAGGACTGAGTGGTGTCGATGCTACACTGCGTCGACTCATTATGGCCAATTCGTAGATATCTTATTTTTTTTCGGAAAGCCAACAATACAGAGGATGCATAAACTTTAATCATCCCACGACTAGTCTACTATTGCAATAATATTCACAACTAATAACAGTTGTTTTTAAACGGAATTATTGCAAGTAAAAGCCGCAGTTCTGCCACTCTCTGACACCGAAGAGGAACTTGCATACTTCTCCTTGTGATAGTTCTGTTTTCCGTCGTAGAGTAGGGAATAATTGTTTACACGAGTACACTTGGTACTCGGTCCTGTTCAGAGCTGTCACACTGTTGTTCTTTGAGCAAAACTGCTTTGCAGAATCAGATATCCACTGCCTATTTACATCTGCACTAATGATGGTGGAACACATTTGGTGGAAGATCAAAATAGAGCAGATTGACCGATGGGGCGCGCCATCTTTGAATAATCTGTCGCCTGCACCGGGAGGTCTTTAGCGTTTAGCGAGGGGTAATCAAGCACGCGACGAGTAATTGGCTAAAAATCCTCACAAACGCGCATGGGCGACGTGGCCGCCCATCAAATACCGGAAAATGTCAATCTTGTGTTCAAATAATAGAGTCGATTCGCTTGTGTTGTATTGATGATTACCCATCTACTTATTTAAACGGCCTTTCGAAGGCTAAATACAGTAGAACAAGTAGGTACTTCAAAGTCTAACATAGCCAACTTATCCGACAGGATCTCACAATAAGGGTAGTCAAAATCATCAGCAATGAGGACATACGTCAAGCGCCGTGTAAAGAGTGGAGGCCACGACGCGGAAGATTCGCGTGGGGGAAATGCCAGTCACCTGTTGCGCTTATTGTTGTGGTCCGGCTAAAACCCGGCTGAATTGCAGACGCACCTAGCTGTCCAAACTTGAAAGGTGCTTATGGTTAGCCTTGTCTCTTTTTGGCTCCGTCCTTGGGAAAGACACCTCGAATCGACTAGTGCACTCTTATTCAGCAAAATCACATAAGCAAGCGCTAATCCATTACATAATTTGCTATTACTACTATGTGGCGATTGTCTTGAGGATGACTTACATTATGATTTTGTGTGTAGAAACCTGGCTAGGTGTAAAAAGATTCTGATTAAAATCATATGTTCAGAAAAAATAATTTTGGAGCTGAAAAGGAAAATTTCTTTATAGGCTTTAACGCAAACTGCGCAAATTTTTTTCTTTTTCCACTAAGTTGTTTTTTAAAATATCGAGAACTTCATTTGAATGTGAAAGCTGTTTACATCTACACAATAGGCATATTGAAGTTTCTGAACGGAAATCGATCTGTCTCAATATATGCTGAAGAGTAAATTCGTTTTTTTGTGTTGGTACTTCACAATTTTTGAAAAAAACCATCGATGTTTTCAGGTTGCCTACGAGCCTGCTTTTTCCTAGCGGCCTAATGTTTACACGGCAGTTCGAAAATCAAAGAGCTTTATAATCAACAGCTTTATCTTAAGGTAGTTAGATAACCACAAAGGTACCTCAGTGGGTCAACGACGCCATTGTGATAACTCGATGCAGGGAGTGCAATACCTGCTACAATGTCAAAAATGATTAGAACACGTCGGTAAAGTAGCTGAATGGGGTAATTGAAACATACAAAATGACGAAATTGGCGAAAAAAATTGAATGGCTGAAATAGGATAACAGAGTGAATGTAACTGTATGACTCCAATAATGCACGAAGCTTATTAAACCAGGACTATAGAAGAATTGTCTTGAATCCAGATTTCTGGAAAGCAGTAACCGACCTGTGATTAGATAGAGTATGAATTCTATGTGAATGATGTGCGAGAAAAGGATGATTAAATTAACAAGCGTGGGTGTTTTGAGGTGAACACTGGCGGATATGGTAATGCTGTTCTTTGAGTGGTATCAACCATTCCGTGCCGATATTATTATTATTTAATAATAAAATAAAGTTTTTTTAATTAAATGCAGCTTGCATAAAAATCCATTTAGAGAATTAGTAAGGTATCAGCCGGATTGTTTGCAAGTATTTGTGATACGCTAGATGGATGCCGCGTCGAATAATAGGCCCCACCAACGTCGTTGACGACATAAATTGGATAAAGCGCAAACAAGTGCTATTTGCGCACACTCGTAGCCCCATATCTCTCAGTCTTCTCAATATTTGGCTCTCGTTTTAAAGCCGCAACGCTATGGTCAAACGTGTGAGATTGGCTGGCTCGACGTCAATAGGAACAAAAATTAGAGGAATCTCAAGCGCAGATTCTACTACATAAACCCCCTAAACAAATTCACAAACCTGTTTGACGAAATTGTCATCTTTCTTCTGTGAGTATTCTAACAAAGGCTCATTTCCATGAGCTATCTATCTTTCACTATTCATTTATAATCGCACATAGTTCACAGAGTGTCTGCTTTTTCTTCTTACTAAATCCTGTTGCTATTACCATTGCCCTGTGGCGTGTCGATTGGCTGGTTTCTAACAGGCACCAGGTGACGTCACGATCGGCCGCTGGTGGAGCGTCGCTGCTGTAAACAGCGTAAGGGAGCAGGCAGACGAATGTTCTGCGTTGCCGGTTTCCCTCTGGACTGACATTGGCGTTTTATAGTAAAATGGCAAGGGCGTAATGCTGCTCTCGTTGTCGCTGATAGCTCGTTCACATTGACCGACAACCCCCTTCTTCCCCCCGCCGCCCCTGCTCCCAGCGTGCTGAGTGGGTAGTCATAAGTGTATCTTGACGGTGGTGTTGCTGCGGTCTGGTAAAGGAGACGAATATTGACGAAGTTGGCAAGAACATGCAGAGTGCGATGTAGTACAACTGGTGCACAATTAGGTAGCAAATTGTACGTGGTAAATATATGAGCAAGGATACTTTTCAAGGTAGAATGTTGCCCGCTGAGACTCAGTCGCTTGTTGAAAGCATTGAGGATGGCACGAATCTAGGCGGCATCGTCAAAGCTAGCCTTTACTGAGATGGACGACCTGTTGATGATAAACAGTGCGGAAGACGAATAATTTCAATGAGGGCAAAAAATCGTAGATACTCGTTGGGACCTCGACTGCAACCAAAGTTGTATATGGCGCTACTCGTGCTCAAGTGTAACGGAGATTGCTGATACAGGCATTGTTTACTTGATGAACCTAGTGAGAAGTAACAGCAACATCATGATTGTGCGTGATTGTTTGTTCGTTCGCCTGTAGTGACAGTTTAATTAGAATTCAATTGCGAAAGTGATGACTCAGTCACTTTTGACTGGAATGCATGTTCAACTATCGTTTCACAAATGGTAGTTTCACACACGGAACTGCAGTCTGTTTGACTGAAAAAGGTTCAGATAGGAACAGATGAAAACATTGCCAAAAACACTAATCGACTATAATGAGAATCACCTATACACTTTGAAATTAAGTTAGTTTGCTCGAAAAACTTGTGGTAATCTTCGTTCGATACCGATTTTCGGATAATCTAATTATGTTCTACATAGAACTTACCACCAAACAGCAGGAAACGGCGTTAAAGGAATGTGAGTATCTATTATGAGATACATACAAATGTCCACCTATAGAATAAACACACGATCACGACATTCTTTATTTTTAGATCGAATATTCATGCGTAGACCCTGCGGTGTTGAACAACGGCTCTAGTTCAATGGTCAATCAAGCCTATCAAACGTTTGCTTTTAATGGTTCTTTTCAAACCAGCAAAAAGTTCCATGGCACAAGACACGCAATGCGTATCTAACGAGTCAACAGTTGAAATGCACTCATTCCTCGTCCAAGTAGATCGCTAAAATCCCGGGGATCAGTTATCGACCCATGGACTGCCTAGACAGATGAAAGCGATTAGAAATTCAAGGCGAACACAGATATATAGGTCAATTCTCAATAAGAGACGTAAAATTCAAACTGTAGACCTCTAGCTTTAGCTATATCCGATGCAACGCGAAAACTCGAAACGGCAAGACCGATACCACCGCAGTAGGCAATCATTATAGTGATAATGCTGTGTGCTTTATCGATGTGGTCCAGATGGATGGCTAAACAACGCACATTTATAAAAAAAAATAACAGGCAGTTCAACACAGACAGATGGATTTTTCTATGATATGTAAAAATACTTTATTTTTTAATATTGAAGGTGAAAGTGCCGTATTAAAATTTTTTGTTTTCTCTATCTGGCTTTGATACTTTAGCAGTAAAATTTTCCATAGACAATCAACTAAATACTGCAGCGGTCTTTATTTTTCCCAATTTTAATTTCAACATTGATCTAATCTTCAGCCATAACATATTAACATGCTAATAATATTGAAGAGTAATACTTAAATGGTAATACCTAAATGGCCATACGTACGTACATAGCGACTTTTCCGACTGGATATACATGAGCCGTTTCCTTGTTCGAACAGGATTTTTGAAAAGTATTTAGCTCGATTTTCGTTTGGACCTGAACGATACGCGCGAATAAAGATTTGAAATCCTCGGAGAATTGGGACACGTGTAAATAAATATAGGAGAAGCGTTATCAGGCAGTTGTAAATAGTTGATCTCCGGTATTACGAAATTGACTGGATGAAGCCTACAGCGTGCAATGTAACGGAAAGGCCGTTATATCTGTAACACGCCAAAGACATAATCTCTACTGGGTTCTAACAACGCCTTTCATACCAGATATTTCGGGGCATAAAAAAATGCTTAATAAGACTCTGTGTGTATTTTATTCGTTGCGTTCGGCATAAATCATTGCGGTGTGTAGGCCATAAGTTCAATATCAACTTCATCGGTTTTAAGGCTGACGCACCGTTACTGTTTTTCGGCAGTAAACATCAAACGAGTTTTCTCTTTACCCCTCATTCAAATAAGCGTTCCTCCAATAGTGCTAAAAGTCTTCTTTAAACCTGGTTAGAGTTATTTCTCATCCCTCAATTGACGTCAACAAAAAATTAATTGACCAATTAAGTAAAAAAACTAAATCTACCAAATCAAGATCATTCAGCAGTATGAAATTGTATATATCAAGTAGATGACTAAATAGTTTGTGTGTATGTAAACGTGTATATATATATATATTTAATCTAATGTTAGATATTTTTTAAGAATTTAAAATCCATAGATTTGTCCCGGCAATTGCTAAGTATAGTTAGCTACTCCTTAATTCATGTACAGAGAGTTAGCTTTATTTTTGTAAAATTTCTATGTTGATCTTCCATTTCTAAAGAATCAACAAGCCGAATTCATCGTTTGGTGAATGAATTCCCAAACTATCACGTATTTTAGCAATGGAAACGCTTCGAGAACCTTAGTAGCCTTTTTAGAAGATATAAGACATTACATGCGACGTCTGATGTTATGCATATTCCATATTTGCTAGGATGATGTCCCAAGGACTATGAATTTAGTGAAGCCAAACGCTGAAAATAAATATATATATATATATATATATATATATATATATACCTATTTATGCTAGAAGCGAACCTACATTATTTTTCGCAAAAAGTTTGTTGAGTAATGTTGATAGGAAATTTGTTGCAGTATAGTCGCATTGGTTACTCAAAAACTGAAAATGCGATTTAAAGATGAGGGATACTTGATATTTTTGTTTCAATCTGGAACGCTAGAAAGTACATCTAGCCTAATTGCTCCGCGCAACGTATTTTAATTTTCCCTGTTACTTCACTTTACATGATTTTGACAGTTTTCTTTACTATTTTTCAATCACAGATTCGAGTTTGTAATAAACACCTCTGCAGAGCAAGAACGAGTTAACGGTTTGGGGACGAGAAGTTGCGCGTCATGAAATGCAGTACGCGTACTTTTTCCAGACCTATTGTTGAATTGAAATCCTACTTTTATCCAATCGAATGTTGTTACGTAAAATATACAGTTGACTGGGTAGTAGCCTAAAAAAGTGTATTACATGTAAAATAGCTTGCAGTACGATATCGTCCTTCACGAAGGTCCTAAAGCAAATTAGGACCTTCGTGAAGTGTTTTCCGTTTTACATCCGATTTTTTGGTGTCTTGTAGTTCCATCGGCGCAATTCTACCACCATACACGGATCGCTTATCTATAATAATTTTGTCCAGCGTGCTCGATTACTGTTATTCTAG